AGTGATTAAAAGTCTATAAAAAATGAAGAAAAAAGGGGAAAAAAGTAATTTAGATGGATGTTGTTTGAAAAGGCACCACGTTTTGGTGATTAAAAATCTGTAAAACTAAAGAAAAAGGAGGGAAAAAAACTAATTTAGATGGATGTTGTGGATATTATCTATACCCACAGGAAATCCACTGCAGTTTCAGTAGTCATGAACCACGCAACCTCCCAAACAGCTCAACACAACCCACCTAATTAACAAGTTTAGAAATCAGACTAGAATAGCCTTCATTTCTTCACGTAAGCATGATAGAAAAGGGCGGCTGTCAAACGGCATTGGGATGCATAGTACAACCAGTGCACTCCTTCCTGCCTGTCCTCCTACCCCTCCTTCCTCCTTCCCTGTTCACTCACCTCCTCTCCCGGAAAAGCTGGTGACAGAAGCTGTCACTTCGCACACAGCCCTCTGCTTGAAACAATCAGCAACAGGAAGTCTGCCACTGCGACCTACTTTGGTCTCTGTGTTATTTTTGAAACACTATAATAAAATTACACCTGAAAGAATTTTGTCTTTCTAAATTAGTTGTGAGAGCAGAAATCCTGCTGATGTGACACAGGAAGGACAAAGGCTGGGAAAACTGGGATGATCTCTTACTGTTGTAGAGTATTTCTGCTGTTTATCTCTTGAAAAAAAGATAAAATAGTAGCACCATAATCACCGACCTGCTTTGTAAAATCCTATCTGTGAATATTAGAAGGTGTTTTGGCATCAGATAAGCATCGAATACATTAGTCTTCTGCTCATTCTTCTGCAATTCCCACTACAGTCTTCATCAAAGACCCTGTAAACAGTTGGTTTTAAAATGTGTCTTGTGTGATCTGATCATGGCTGGACACCTGAGACACACTGCTGTTTGCACCTGTGTCTGTCATGTGTCTCTAAGGTGTTCAGCTGATCACTTTGGCAGTCAAGTGGCAGAACGGCTTAACAAAGACAAGGAAAGAAAAAAATGTTTCAAGAACTAATAAACATGCGTGTTCCTTTTCAACTGGTTAGATAGCGAGGATCAAGTCATGTCTAACTTGAAAAAGGGTCAAATACAAGACTAAAAAGGACCATTAAGTGCTGCTTTGATGACAGAGTAAAAACACGTATTTGCTCCCTTCCTGATTTCTCAGCTTTTTGCACATTTGTCACATTTAAAAGTTTCAGATTAGTGAACAAATCTTAGTATTAGACAAATAACCTGAGTAAATGTCATCTCTCCGCTGGACACCGAAGTTTGTGAATGTGGTAACTTGAGACCAAGGCAACATAGGATTTTTTAAATTGATACCACATATGCCATCTACTAAAAAATCTCAAATGAGATTGAATCCTGGTGATCTTGATTTCAAGCTCTTAGGTCAACCTTTTCTGAAAATGTGGTTTACACACATACATATACCATAGACATAGACATTTTTCTGATTGAACTTTTTGGAGAGTGACAGTACTAATGAGGTTCTGCTAGTCAATTGCAAAGTCATTATATTTCCTGAGGCTCCTCCACAATAAAAAAAGAATCCAACCAGCAGATATGGGATCTGATAACTTGTTCCAGTTCAGATCTGATTCCAAGTTGGTAAAATTCCCTGATTCGTGAAGTTTTGCACCAAGTGAATCCCTGACCAAATCTTTTATTCATATTCTCTGTTTATTTAGGCTTTCGTGCATCTTTGATGCTACAGCATCGGAAGAACAGACAGAGCCGTCTATCCATTTTTGTACTGCCTACCTAATTCAGGTTTATGGGGGCTGGACCCCATCTTAGCTATCACAAGGTGAGAGGCAGGGTACTTCCTGGACAGGTTGCCAGTCCATTGGAGGGCTAAAGCAGCAAAGTGAAATCGTTTTTTCAAGCAAATATATTTCTAACATGCTATGGTAAGAATTTATTGCATTTTTGCCACAGCTTGCACACAATCGTAAGCTTTCAGTGTGCAGCAGGAGCAGGTTTACATCAGCAATAGCTGAACTGGAATATGACAGAAAGCATCCGAGAATTAAGCCTTTTGTCAAGTTAGTGGTGCAGATCCATGTTGTTTGAGTAGGGGTGACTGTGTTGGGTTTGCTGCAGTCAGTCAGCTGCATCAGCGGCAGATGAAGTGCGTGTCTTGATGCAATAAGTAAACCAGACTGATGTGAGCCTCTGGAAATGCAACACTAGATTAGTATAACCTGCAACTTGCTAAGGGCATCCAAGCAGTCTGTGTCTAAAATGACTCTAGACAAAATGATGTGGCAAAGCTGGGCCTGCTGGTTGGGATGATGAACTGCGTTTTTGAATATTTTTATTGTTTTGGAGCAGCTTGCTAGATCCCCAGAGACGGCAGAAACCCTGCTTCCACCTTGTCTGTGATGTTGTTGTTTTTTTTTGTGTGTGTATGTGTGTGTGAGTCACAAGTATGCAGACTCACTTAGGCCCTCTCCTTCTCTTTCCATCACACACAAGCAAGCAGGTTATGCTACATTCTGGAAACACACACACACGTGTAGACACATTAACGCAGATGAACAGGTGCATGCATATCTGCTCACGTGCACAGGTACACCCACACACACACGCGCGCGCGCTTACATCCAGACGAACGAACCAACAAACGTTGAAATGCACACACCCACTCAGGCGCACACACTTGTGTACAAGCAGACGCTGCACAGCCGCGCATACCTCTCATCTTATAGATGACTTGTGTGAAGTACTTGAGTGAGGGAGTGAAGAGGGTGGGGAAAGAGTCCATCAAATGAAATGAATATGTATCAGATGGAGTTTGAAGTAGTGACTTGCATTCAGCCCTGCATACTCACCGAGCGGCTGTCACTCCGTCACCATCAGGATATAATAAGGTGTCTCAATGATACTCAGAACCCAGGAGACTTTCACATCTAAGACACCTGTCCGTGTGCGCTTGTACCCTACACTCCCTCATCCAGCCGACTTCAGCTCTTTCTTTCTTTGTGCCTCTTGCTCTCTCCCTCCTCCCAGCTTCTACTCCTGTGCCTTACTTTCAAAACTTACATTTTACCCCCTCACTGTATGTGTTCAGCTGAAAGTTAATAAAAATCTCTTCTTTTCTTTATTTTCTCCCAATATCCTCTCCTGCTCTGGCTTCTTTCCTTTTTCACTCTTTCTCTAGCTGTGGTTCTGATTGTGCCTCTGTACCTCTCCGACACAACAATGCATTCATTGTGAAGGGCATGGGAGTGACTCTCGTGAATACTGTTGTGTGGGATTGCATTTGTGTGTGCACATCAGACCGACTAAGCTCCCGCCATAGGTTAAAACCCTGGCCAGCAAATACCCTTGGCCCTTTGGCCTTTGACCTCAGCCTCCCAGCAGACAACAACAGATGAGCAGAGGTTTCTGTGGGACTTATACCTTGCTTATTAGAGCTTTCCCAGGCTTTGTACTACAGCCTGCTGAAGCACATTAATGAATGTATTTTCAACCAAAAATGTAAAGATCTACAGTTTTTCCCCAGGCCTCAGTGTCTCAGTATGCTGGATTTCATCCATTTTTTAAATGTCGTCTTGTAAACTTTTAGTGACTGTAATCAAACCCTCCCCAAACTGCAGACCTGATGGGGAATCATTTAGTTTAGTGTGCACATTAATGCTTCAGCTATAACTCACCTCAGTGTCTGTGCATAAAATGAAAAAGATTGTTACAGCAGGAAACCTGGGGAGCAGGAAAATATTAAAAAGTTTTGTTTCCACCTTTATGAAACATCTCTTCTCAGGAGCGTTCAATTCTGTTGAGCAAATGCCATCTAATGTTACCACTTTGCATTTAACTCTGCTGGCCTGACCCAAATCTTCCAAACCTACCACTTATGTAACTTCGCTCTTCTCTATGTGACCTGCTTCTCTGGCATGTCTACACAAACACACATTCACAAAAGCAGGAAGCTTCCCGCCTATGGCCAGAATATCTTCTGGAGCCTTTACCTTGCACTTTACCATATCTAGTCACACACCCACACATGCAGACAGGCTTTTTATCCTGTTAAGCATCTTTCTTTGATCATTTATCTCTTTCTACGGCTGATCCACACACATGCACAGCCTTATATCCCTCTCCTTTCTCCACCCGAAAGCATGTTTCCAAAACCTGACTTTTTGTCACACATCACATTATATCACATTGCATTTTGTCAAAAAGTCATCCATGCCTGTCAAGCCCGCCTTATATAACTACCCTCGTCAAGTCCAGGATGCTGCAGCCTACATTAGGCAGCGGCAACATCCATTAACCACATGTACACATAAACAGTAATTACAACATTATATACTGTGCACATGCAAACATCCACAAGTCTCTGTCATTATCTAATAATAGTGTGAAAGCCGTAAACTGCATTTAAAACATGGATGTAGCCACATGACGTCAAACAGCCAACAAAATAATCAGTATAGAGTATTATGCAATGGTCTGAGGAGATTTCTTTATGCTTTCATAACAGGCAACTTTTAAATTGTATCATTAGACACTTTGTTGCTAGAAGCCTGTTGCGAAAATACATGATCTGTTCCAATTTCTTTAGCTGAATATATGAAATAGATAACACAGTTTTACAGACATAAAATAGTATTTTTGCGCCAGCAAATGATTTCCGAAGAGGTGCTGTCTAAAAAGTTGGCATATCTGAGCATGGTGTGCAGTGCGTCGTTAAAAAAATTGAGGAAAGTGAAGAAAAGAGGAAGAAGTAGTAGGTCTCAAAAAAAAAGCCTGTCCGAGCAGATCGACACTATCTGAAAGTCATGCCCTTACAAAATTGGGAAAAAAATACAGCAAAGACCTGAGAAATCCATCTGGAACTTCAGCTGATCCATCTACTGTTCATAGAAACCAAATTAAAGAAATGGTCTCAGTGGAAGGATGGCTGTCAAGAAGCCGTTCTAAAGGAAGGGAATCAGGGAGAACAGGCTGAGGTATGCCAAATTATACAAGAAATGGACTTAAAATGGGAAATTTTTGGCTTAAATCTTTGTCAGTGTGCACGCCTCCCAGTGTCTACTTCATTTATCTCCCTGACTATTCTATTTTCTTGAAAAACGTTTGCCTGTGAGATCCGAGTTGAAGAAAAAATATGGTCAAATATCAAATACTGATTTTCATGCTCGTTAGAGTTGTACAAACTCAGTTGCCTTATATATTGTATATCTATGTATGCTTGCACATGTTTTGCTACATTAGTTTCCCATTTTCCTAGTAAAATATAAAGAAATGAGGGGTGGCTTTTCACTGTACAGCGCCTGTAAATCTGGACCGGCAGAATTGCCAGGAAGCACTATATGAACAATAAAATAAAGACACTGAGGCACACTTTTGGGTTAGCATATTTACTGTAGACAAAAAAAATATTCCAGTCAAGTTTCATCACCTCTGTACTTTAAGAAGCGCAACCTCATAAATTTTTCCATGGGAATTGTTAGTCTTTGCAGTAAAGGAATCAAAAGAAAGAAAGTCTGTCATTTTTAAACACTCCCCAAACGCTGGTTTGGACTGACTCTTCCAGTGATGACAGGTGATCCTGGAAGCAGCAACAAAAACCTGCTAGTAAAAATCTTTTTAGAGGCTTTTTTTTTTGTTTTGTTTTTTTTTAATGTGGAGTCAGTAAGCGTCGTTAAGAAAAGTCTGTAATTGGTTTGTGTAGCAAATTACTGATATTTTTAATTAGTTATTTCCAGAAGGCGAGAAAAACAAGACACATTTTCTTTAATAATATGTGTGTACATTTCATTTTAACATTTCTTTCAAAATTTCCTATCATCTTATTCTAAATATCTAGTTCCAGAGATCAATTGATATATGATTTTTAATGCTGATAATGACATTTGCTGATTTAAAGAAATTGGCCTATTGTTCGATATATCGGCCAATCATTTTGTTTTCTAAACAGACAATTGAAGCATGTATGGATTTCCCTAACATGTTATGTGTTTTTTATTTATCTTCTCTTATACATTCTACTTGACTTTTCTGTTACCAAAAAGGAAATTGCCCTCTGCTGGACTATGCAACACTCATATAATTGGAGTGGAGGGTGTTTCTCCCGTCCCTTCTTTGCTCTTTGAATTTTCGTTTATTGCACAGATACCAGTAGATTAATAGATCGATTCTTATATGGCTAATATTGGACAATAATGTCGGCCAGCTGAACAAACTTTCCGTGCTCTGTCTCGTTCTATCGGATTTTTTTCTCCGAATTTCCTCACAGCTTTAGAAACACCTCACAAAGCTTTCTCCATCACAACATGAAACGCATTACATGCTGATTGTGAGCACCTGTGTGAAGGCAGATGCTTTGCATGCATTCAGGTGTAGACACAATGCCAGTCTGGCGTGTTTGGAAGGTTTAACCAAAACCAATAGAGATCAGTATTGTTTGTCTTGCACTGTGATCTGCTTGCATTGATTAAAATTAGTCTGGAGCAGATTACTGTGGATGGAAAGAGGATTTTTAACTTTTAAGTAATGAGTTATAAAGCCCGGGCGCCTGCTGACTTCTTCATAATTCAGGGAGAAAGGCTAGTCTCTCTCTATATGCATATATTGTGTGGACAAGTAACTAAATCGTGGAGCCATATTGCATCTTGTGCATTCAACTTAATCAAAACTGTAGCCTGTACTCTCCAAGCGACTTCAGGGCTCCGTAGTAATTAGATAATTATTAAGTAACTCTCGTGTAGTTTGGATGGCAGAATTGTGCATTATAATATACTCACAGTAACTGCTAAGTTATGGAAAACATGCATCCACAGACATACTTATTATGCCTTTAGTTGGTCTGGACTGCTGCTTATGGAGAGAGCAAACACTGATTTACTGTGTTTACAGACATTTTTTTTTCTTCCGTTGAAATGGAGGTTGTCGATGTTGTGTATATAATTTTGTTCATGCCAAAGGTATGGGACTCAACCAGTAGTCTTATTCAGCGCCTGCATTTCACACAAACACGCAGGCACACACTCGCACGCTCTGTGATCCTTCAGCTACTGGGCGGGAATGGCATGGCCTCAGCCTGGTCAAAAAAAAGCTAATTAATCAGGCAGGGCAAGGAATGTGTGGGAGGAAGATACAGCAGTGACTCTCATTATCTTACTTCACAGCACTGCTAATCAGTTCATCTATTGCTAATGATTATTCAGTGAAAGATTACTTTTTATTTCTTTAGCATTTATGAAAGCAGGCTTTCACATGTACTATGTATTCACAAATGACACACAAACAAGCAGGCACAGAATGAAGGACGGTTTTCCTCTGTGTGTTGTTACACCGAGGAAGAGACGCACAAACACACACAGCATCTTTATGTCCTTGTAGCAAGCTATGTGGTGAAATCATATTTAGATTTTTTTTGTTATTCTTTCTTTTATCCAGGATCCCGTCAGGGAAAAGAAGCAGAATTTGTTTTATGTATCATTCGCCCTTTTGCATACGTGTGGGTGGCTAAGAGAGAGTGCGTGTGTGTGTGTGTGTGTGTGTGTGTGCGTGCGTGTGCGTGTGTGCATGGAGTTCATAACAGCCTATTAAATGTTTGAAATGAAATCTTCATACTATTCGATAAAGAAAAATTACCATACAGTGATGAAAAGGCTGATAAAATGAAGAAAGTAAAGAGTAAAACATATTGAGAAGTAAATAAAAGTTAGGGGAATTCATTCACTTGAAGTTAAACGAACCAGGACGAACCTTGCTAGGGGTTTTGATGAGGTAAGTTTGGGTTTTCGATGTTGGAAAGGTGGTTCATTTACCTTGTTGCATCGCCACGGTAACTTCTGCTGAATACCTTACCTGCTCTGGAGCTGATTACGTTTGCGATCAACACATACTAACTCAGTGCCTCTCGACTTTTCCTGGAAAGCATCATCACCATTCCTGGAAGAGCTCGCGGACGTCGACGCACCAAAGTTTTCTCCCTAACGAGCTCAGCCATCTGCCGTGACAGGTTAGGGGTGAGAGGGAGACAGGACAAAAGAGACACTGTGGAAGGGAAAAAGAGATTAATAATAACTCATGGTTAAATGCATAGAGTGTGAAAAAAGGTGAGTGAAGAAGAAACTTTGCTAAGAGCAACATGGGAAGACCTCAGCAGCCTAGGCTTACTCCAGCGTAACTAAGGGAGGGTTCAGGGTCACCTGATCTGGCTCAAACTATAAAAAACAACATTTTTAAGCCTAATCTTAAAACTAAAGAGGGTGTCTGTAAAGATGTTTAAATATTTTTAAATAGGCTTTATTAATATAGCGCTTTTCCCGTCTTTGTGACCACAGCAAGGAAAGTGCATATATAAATTCACATAGCATTTTTTTTATCACTACTGCTGCACAGACCTTTCCTATTATGCTCATATCACCTCTCAGACATTGTTGCTTTGTTACAGTGCTGGCATTCTTGTACTTGTGTGTTTAACCTCCTATATAATGCATTGCTTTTTGCTTTGTGAAGCATACCATTGTTCTTCCAGTAGCTCTGTCTTAGACCATATTTGTGTTATATGCTGAAAATAACCAATATATACATGTACACGGTATCTGAGCAATGTGGAGGGAAATGCATTACAAATGAGCTCATTAGAGTACTCTGGTTACTTTGTTGTCCAATCAGCCTCAAAAACTGTTACTTTTTCATATTAGCTATTTGTAACTGTTGCACCATATTTCCTATGTTTCTTTTGTTTCTACCTCCCAACAGCATGCACAGGTGCATTTGTACTAGTGTTCAGTATTCATTCTTAACTTGTGACATTGTTCCACTGAGACACAAGTGTAAGAGAAATGAAGATGTATCCTTGGCCGATAATGAATGTTTGTCAGCTGCGGCTTTACATCAAATATGTAGAAGCACACCTGCAAGTCAAGCACAGCTCAACAAGACTGGTGGGGGAGCCCACTGAGGAGGAGGAGTGCTGCACCAAAGGCTAGTTAGCTCAGCAAAGTTCAGCTAAGGCTGGAGCTCAATCTGCTCACTCTACCACCTGAGCCATAGCCACCAACATTACCTAACACTGAATATGAACTATTATATAATGTAATATAACTTTAATATAATGTCCATATCCAAATGATAGTTTGAATCATATAAAGATTAAATACTGACCTGCTGGTTGTTACCTTTACCATTTAACCTCAAATATATTTTGTTTAATGCCGCTAAGCAAATGTCTCATCACCGTGAGTGCTGACAGCATACAGAAGTTAAGATTACGCCATAAGCACCACGTTGGTTTTGTATCACCGCTTAGAAGGTCATGTAGTCTAGTTTTATACACAAAATTTTTAATTCAGTTAAAAAATATATTTTGCTCATCTGTAATTACTGGGCACTCTAGAAAATAAGCAAAGCTTAGAGGATCACCACTCTTGCTCCTTTCCTTTCACCCTTCTCTCACATACAATCAGCACAGACACAAAAGAAAGAAGGGCATGAAATTAATTAAGCAATACAGTATAGTGCAAGTTTGCAAGCTTCAAACAGCACTGTACATGTCAGTCTTTAAATTCAGCATTTGGCTCATTTTATTCTATCTATTCTATCCTAATCCAACTGTATCCTCGCATGCTGATTGGTTTGGGCTACGGGCTGTTTTTGTTGATATGTGGATCATAACGCGCACATGGAAGAAAACTCCCGTGCTCCAAACCATCTGAAAAATATTACAGTAAATTCTCCATTTACTGAAAGGGGCCGACTTATCATTATTCCACACTGGAAGATTTTTTTAGTTAGCTAAATGACAGGAACAAATCCAGGGCTGTACAAAGGCTTTAAAAGCCACAGTGCAACCATGCGGGCCCAGCAACGGACACACATGCCCCAAAAGTGAAATTTGCCAGAGTGTACAAAGTCTGAAATAGATGGGGTTGTGCAGACATAGCAAGTAGTGCACAGATGTTCCAAAAATTGCTTGAGTCATAAAATATAGTGTGTGAATAAACAAATAACAGGTAGAGGTTAGCAAAGTTAGATGGGCTAGCTCCTGAAGTGACGGGACTCTGTGTTAATGATCTACCGCCACCAACTGCAGGAAAGTTTTTGGAACAGATGGTTACCGTAGTGTGGTAGCTGGTGGCAGTCCTCCTTGCCTTTTTTCATCTCCCGACTGCCACATATTTCCTTGATGGACGGCCACAAGCAGCCAGTGACCCGCTAAGCAGAGAAGCCAAAACCTGCTCGAGCATTTCTTCTTCAGCAGAGATCGAGGGGAGGCAGAGGTGGACTAGGCTGTAATGGTATACTGGAGACAGAAAGCGAGAGAGAGAGAGAGAGAGAGAAGGTGTTTTTCTTTTTCTGTAAGAGAAACAAAGCTGCTGCTGAGCAGTACGAACCCGAGAGAAGGAGACGAGAAATTCCTCCCATCCCTCTGTCTTCTCTCCTCCTCCTCCCCAGTGGTATTAATTAGCAGCAGCAGATGAGTGGAGAACGGGAGCCTGCAGGGAGAACAGGTTCATGTCAGGTTAGCATAAGCTGTTGTGCCCCCCCCCCGTTTCTCTCACTCTCACTCTCTCTCTTTCTTTTCCTTTTCCTACCCTCACAACACACACACACAAATACACACATAAACAATAGGGATTGTTATAAATTTAAGAAATATGATCTTCTCGTCTTTATGGCTAAAACCGAACGTGTACAAAAATGTGAGTTTTCATTAAGCCCAGCTTAAACTCCTCCTCCTCCCTCCAGTTTTACTCTGAACACAGCCTCTTGACATATTCAAAAAAACAAATCCAACCCTGTAGCACATCAAACGCACAACCACTGACATTATCACCCACCTCACGGTCATGGCGAATCATTGCCCTAGCATCCCTCTGTCTCGCTCCCTATCTTCACTGAAATGCGCTCCAGCCTCCTGTTTTCAATCATCAGTTTCAGGAGCGTCTGGTACACTTCGGCTTTAATCAATGGAGTCGTCTGCATCTGCACCCGCATTTCACTCTTGTCTAACCGTGACCCGTAGTGTCTGTTTTTATTCGACACGGTACGGAGTAGAAAGCAGAGGACTCCTTTTGAAGGCCTTCGCTAATGTCGAGACCGAGGTTCTGGAGCCAGAGCCGAGTGAAACCCAAGCTAAAGATAGTAAGACCAGATTCTAATCTGAGTGAAGAAAAACTTGTACTTTGGAAGGAGATGAAGGACATGGCAAGGTCCCATAATGGTTTTGCATTGGTTTCCAACAGTCTTGACAAAGGCTGGAAAAAGATAAAAGCTTCTGTTGCAGTGGACACTAATGAATAAAGCTGGCTGATAAATGGTGTTTCATCCTTAATGCAAAGCCAACATACAGCAGATATTTCACTAAAGATGCTGCATAACGCAGCAGACATTTATCCTTGTTCAATAAGAGCATGTTTAAAAAGCATACGTTTTATTTCTCTGTTTATCTATCTGTGCATATTGATGCGTCTTCGTGTGGGTATATGTAAAAGAAAAAGAAAGAAAAATAATAGGAACTGTGGAGCAAATGTGTAACCGTCATTACTATTAATGTTATCACACAATTCAGACTTTTCTCATATTCTCCAGTCCTTACTGTAGAATGAAAGCAGATTCAGAAAGTAACTGTAATATAGTCAGCATATTACAGTTTGCTTATTTAAAGAAAACGTGTAAAAGTGATGCCACTTTGTTACTACTTCATAATATTCTCTTCTTTTTCTCTTCTTTTCTTCCTTTTTTTCTTTCCCTCTGCAGAATTCTATACGACACAACTTGTCCTTGAACAAGTGTTTTCTCAAAGTGCCTCGCTCCAAAGACGACCCTGGAAAAGTAAGTATTTTCTCAACCTTATTGTGCGACTTAAAAAAAAGAAAGCTGGGCGGCGCACGGCGAAAATGTCGAGTGGGTTTCAGCAGGCTTTGCAAGTACGTGGCGACTTTTGACGTGTTTAGTAGCACTCGTGCCACATGTGTGAACACACTTGTGCTTAAGTGCTCACTTGCTCTGCTTCTTTGTCACACACACACACAGTGTCTGCGGTTAAAAGCAATTTGTAACTCCATAACCGGCTGTGCTGAATGCCTAATGCTGCTTTCTCTGTTTTCTGTGGCTCCTACGATATTGATTCTGCCAAGTAATAATGTGGTACAGGGAGTAATGAATAATAAGTATATGTAGGTACTCTCCCTCAGATGCAAGGCCTTCCATGCATCTGTTATGCTTTATTAGAACTGCTTCTCTCTGTATCTCGCAGACACAATCAGAGGAAGCTTTAGATATGTTTCACTCCTGCTGCTGCTGCTGCTGTGGTTAGGAAGCAGCGTTGCCACGGCCACTTCAGCAACTCCAGTTTGATAACAACAATTTGTCAAGTGCTTGGTTGTGCTGAGATCGAAGGACATGCTCAGATGGGGAAAGTGTATAATTGCAGCTGATCACTGAACCCTGTCCTTATGCCATATTTTTAATACAAGCTCAAACTCGTCACAAGGTTAATGTTAGAGGCGATCCGCCACTTTTACACAAAACTGAGGAGCCAAACTTTTCAATGAGCTCTTAAAAACTCTGCTCGTTTTGTTTAGGGGGGTACGGTTGAGGTGGGGTTGGGGGAGCGGAGAGTTTCTCCCGGCTGCGGGGATTTTGGAGCCATTGAAAAATGAATTAGGGGGAAGAAGGTTTAAATAATTCAAACAAAATCCTTGGGCTTGAGTGGAGGCCTATAGTCTGCAAAGACACAAAGAGAGGGCCCCCCCCCGATTAGCCTGACTTGGACCTGACCAGCACCTTAATTCACACCGTGGATCGAAGTGGTCGATACCTCGGCGTAGTGGTGGTGGGGTGGGAGGTCAGCTGTGTGCGTGTGTGTGTGTGTGTGTGGAGAAGCTGAATGTACATGCTCTGTTTGAAGCCACAGAGAGAGAGGAGAAGCTAAATCATGCATGTGCTAACGTTAATTGGCTGTGTACTGTTCAGTGATGTGGGACTGAGAGACAGGGGGAGGAGAAGAGGAAAGAATATGAGAGGTGGGGGGGAGATAGATGTTGAGAGTTGAGCTGTGTGCATGTGTGGCCTAGATGAACCTCCTGAATTCAGTCTGCAGCTTTGGACCTCCTTGGGAGGGAAGAGGCAAAATGAAAGGCTGGAAAAAAAAATAATACCGGAAGGAAATCTAGGAGCTAAAAGCAATTGATTTCCTCTTCTCTTATTGTATCTGTTTATTTTGGAGACTGCTGTGTTTTAACATTATGTATCAAAAGGATTTCGGTGGATTTTCTGGGGAAAGGATGCAGAAACGTGCACCACTGGAGAACTAAACCTAGAGAAAACTAATTTGATACTGGAAGAATAACAGATAAGTTGATGCTTTTGGATACTGTGGATGCGGCCATCTCACAGCACTTACTTTTTATTTAGTGACACTTACTGCCAGCCTTATTTTGTAGAAGTAATAAAGAAGAAGCAACTAATAGATTCAGAGAAATAAATCCTGATTTATTTTGTAAGACATTGTGTTTTTGAAATCTAACATAATCTAAAACAGTTTGGGGAAAAAATAGGTGTAAATAGTGGCGAGTGGATCATATTTAATCCATGAGTTTTTGAGACTTCTCTATCATCAGTGTGATGTTTTATTAAGACTAACCCCCTTAAATGTTTTGTTTGTAAGATTAACTGTGAGCAGTAAATTTCAGTTTAAAAAAATTATAATTTTCTTGAAAATATTTCATGGTTTAGACTTTACAGAGTTAATTATCAGAACAATATAAAGATTTCAAATTCATAATAAAATATCTTGGCCTGCAGCAGCAGTTCAAATGTTTTTGAGCCAAAATCTTAAAACTAGAGTTCACTTTGGTTTGAACATCAAACACTTGTTGGCTAGGTTGTTAGTCTAAAGCAGGGGGACTCCAGGCCTCAGGAGCCTGTGTCCTGCAGGATTTAAATGTGTCCTTGATCCAACACAGCTGATTTAAATGGCTAAATTACCTGCTCAACATGTCTTGAAGTTCTCCAGAGGCCTGGTGATGAACTAGTCATTTGATTCAGGTGTGTTGACCCAAGGTGATATCTAAAGCCTGCAGGAAAAGTTCTAAAAAGTTGCTTAAACAATAAAAAGTGTATTAACCAGTCATATTTACCAAGATTTAAAACTGATTTTGTAGCCACATCTGTGAAATTGTAGGTATTTTTCAATATTTGGCTTATTGATGGAGGGGTTTGCTCTATGATCAGTAATTCAGCATAATTAGGTAGAGCTGTTCGATATAACGATATATCGGATAACAATATAAAAACGTCTATCGTTTCATTTTACGCTATCGTTTGTTTCGTGGTGTCGCAAAATAAGCTGTTTAGGGCAATATTTTTTCATCGCTTTGATGGTCACTGTAGTGGCTATATTAATTTCTTTAAGTTCTCTCTTTCTCTTATGTTTTATATAACCACACTACAGACGGACAAGCGCCTGTTTTTATGCGTTGTGGGCCCTGTGCTTCGTACGTCGCTTACTACATCCAAGATCAAATGAACATCCAAGACCAAATCATCGCGCTAACTCTGAGCTCGCTATTCCGGTTCCCCGAACACACCTGTTGTTGACGATTAGTATAGCTGGATGAAGTAATGTGAGATCACTGGGTGGCCCAACAGGGGCTACGCATCGATAGTAGAAACATTGATCGGCAACCCTTTGATTGGTCGGCGAAAATGTCGAAGGAGCGCGCTCGGTATTTTTCGGCAGCAGAGCAAGAACTCTTGAGTGAGGGATTTCAGGGGTTTCAGAGTTTAATTAAAACGCAAGGGAACACTGCAAAGGCTGCAAAAGCAAGGAGAGAGGGCTGGCAGAAAGTTGCTGACAAATTAAACTCGTAAGTAATTCAATAATAACAATAATAATGGAGTGGATTTATATAGCGCTTTTCAAGGCACCCAAAGCGCTTTACAATGCCACTATTCAGTCACTCTCACATTCACACACTGGTGGAGGCAGCTACGGTTGTAGCCACAGCTGCCCTGGGGCAGACTGACAGAAGCCAGGCTGCCATATTGCGCCATCGGCCCCTCTGGCCAACACCAGTAGGCGGTAGGGTAGATTTATCATATCACACCATATTATCCAATATTATATTACATTATATTATATTATAATATGTTATATTATATCCCCTTTCACATTAGAGCCACAACAGGACCCACTAGAACATGGGAACAAGTAAAAGTGAAATATAAGAATATTCTACAGAATGGTAATATTTATCACTTATATTGCTTGTCGTCTCTTGGAAAGAGACCCTGGAATAATCTGTTTGTTTGTTCATAACAGCAACCAAGAAAAGGGCAGAGCAAAAAAAAGACAGGTGGTGGTCCTGCACCCCCTCGTCAACAAGTTGGTTAAGTGAATAATACCCTCACGGGAAAATCGATATCTCTCTATGAGCACACTGTGGCGCTGAGCTAAAGGATCCTGTCTGTCCCGCAATATACGCTGAATTCTGAGGACTCTCCTTATCAATCTTGCACCTTCCGCAGTGGGTTGCTCGCGTAAACGGACAGGACATGGCTGCGACAGGCTTCCCAAATCCACCTTCGCTTTTATAGCCGTGGTCTCTCATCTTGATTACACGAAGTAATTTACAATTACTACTCTGAAATATGAATTACATCTGTAATAATCACATACATGTAATAGAATGTTAATAGTACATTTCCCTTTTTTAGGGAATGACCTGTATGTATCTGTGTGAAATCAATAAAAGGATCAAGTGCTGCATTGTCTTTAGTTACATTGATGTTATTTATTTATGGTGAAACAGTGGTGGAATATCACTGTTGCTTTCGTATGAATGACGTGGACATACCTGCGTGGCCGCGATCTAATCCTGTTTACATAAAGTAAACCTGCTCCCCAGCAGGTTTACGCTTACGGCTCTGTTGCTATGACAGCAAGTCCCGGATGGGCTTCGGGGAACCGAACGATCCAGGATCACGCGAAATCGTCAACAATCTCATCCAGCTAACTCACTTAGCGCGGTACGAAGAACAGGCCCGTGGTTAGCAACAACGACGGTAACAACATTGCGTGTTCGCTTATTTATGTTCCACATAAACCTTTCACAATAAAGCTCAATATCCTGTTGAGACTTTTCAAAATAAACTGAATCACGTGAAAGAGCAGATTATTTAGGGATGAGAAGTAAAAAAGAGCCGCCAGGTGCTAAAAAATAAACCTTAGACTCAAACATTAGAACAGGCTTTTCCCCGCAGCACGCCGTGTAATAAATACTCACAGAGAAAACGGCGGCCTTTACAACTTATGTCTAAAAATGTATGGTTTCATGCATTGGTTAAAACACTCGATTCCAGGTACATGACGCCCAGCTGGAAACACTTCCCGCATGACGAGCTGCCCGAGATTCACAGAATTTACAGAAAATGTTACATTTTTGTGATTTATATCGTTATCGGATGATAGAATTCTTATATTGGGATATGAGATTTTGGTCATATCGCACAGCCCTATAATTAGGGCTATATTTGTTGCTGCTTGTACTGACTACATAACTTATGATGGGATGTTTATGTATAAATTAATCACTAATGTTATTTTCTCTGTAAGCCGGATTCTCAGCTATCCCATTCTGTTTTATAAGCATGTAGAATATAGCATTAATATAATACTTTTGGCCACTAGTATATGATCAAAAGCATTGGTCTGGATCTCTTAATCCTTAAGTTGAAGAGGTTTCACTTTCTTTGCCACTGGTGCATAAAATCAAGCACCTAGCCATGTAGTCTGCATTTAAAAGCCTTTGTGAATGAAGAATGCTGTTCTAAAAAAGCTCACAGAATTCAAGTGTGGTACTGTGATAGCTACCACCATTGCAAGAAGTCAGTTTCAATTGACTGCCTCCTAGATATTCTACCACTAACTGTAACTGGTGTTGAAGAATTTAGGAACTACAGGAAGTGGCAGACCATGTAAGGTTACAGAGTGCTGCCAATCCATTCTATTTATATAGCACAAAATCATAACAACAGCAGCCTGAAGGTGCTTTATATTGTATAAGGTAAAGACTCTTTACTAATCCAAAGAAAACCCCAGTAATTAGATGACCCCTTATGACAGGGGTGTCCAACTCCAGGCCTCAAGGGCCGGTGTCCTGCAGGTTTTACATATCACCCTGGGTCAACACACCTGAATCAAATGATTAGTCCATTGAAGGGCGATCGTGGCTCAAGAGTTGGGAGTTCGCCTTGTAATCGGAAGGTTGCCGGTTCGGTCATAGTGTCCTTGGGCAATACACTTCACCCACTGCCTACTGGTGGTGGTCAGAGGCGCCAGTGTCCAGCAGCCTCGCCTCTGTCAGTGCGCCCCAGGGTGGCTGTGGCTACAATGCCAGCTTGCCATCACCAGTGTGTGAATGTGTGTGTGTGGTAATTTAGCCATTTAAATCAGCTGTGTTGGATCAAGGACACATCTAAAACCTGGATGTGTCCTTGATCCAACACAGCTTGGACACCCCTGCCTTATGAGCAAGCACTTTGGCAACAGTGGGAAGGGAAAACTCACCGAAAAAACCCAAACTCAGGGAGGGGCACTCAAGACAAAGTTTGAAGCTTTGGACAAACCTACAAAGCAACCAAACCACTGGAGAAAAACACACCAAAAAAACCCTTCCATCAAATATGTTTCTAATGTTTGTTTTACTGATGTTAATATTCAGGGTTCCTACTGGGCCATAGACACCAATCCTAAAGAAGACACGGTACCCAGCAGGCCAAAGAAGAGACCACGCTCTGGAGAACGAGTAAGTACACAAGTAGTTTGTATAATCCTGTTTTACCCACAAAAGGCTGATGGGGTATTGTTGTCACTCCGCCAGACAGATGGGTGGGTGGTCGGCGTGCAGCTTTGTAAATGTAATACTTTGAGAATGAGGTGACAGAATTTGGAAATTGATGCTTTAGGTGCATCTGCTAAAAGTCTCAGTGACATCTAGATCAAGATCAGAAATAAAGTTTTCTGGAAATCTTGTGAAGACAATAAATCGCTAAAGATTTTTCAAATCATACCATAGGTGCATCTACTAGGAGGCTGAGGGAACAGCTGGATGCCAGTGTTTCTGTTGTTGTTGTTTCGCTTGTTGTTTTAAAAGTCGTACGAAATGACTTCTCTAAGGATTTATTTCATTCCATATTCTCAAACCTGTGACCCCTTTAAGGTGCTAATATCAAAGTTAGACATCATCAGAGGAGAAGAAAAATGGGATTTTGCTGATGATTCGAGCATTGTTGTAAAATGTCTGAAAAGAGAATTATATGAACAGGAAAAACAAGGCATTTGAAAAAGCTTCCCAATACAAATGAGGTGCTACAGAAATGTGTGAACAGGTTTGCAGTCTTTCTCCTGTTCCCATGTTATAATGATGCATGGACAGACTAGCAGTCCAATAATGTACCTTTAAACCTCCCCTGAAAGATGAGTGTAAGAGCCCTCAGCGGTACTAGTAGCTCTGTGAGAATTGACGTCTCTTTAGCTTGTTAGGAAGCTAACATTAGCTTATTTGCACAAAAAAGCATGTCAGTGTTGGCTGTCAGGTATCGTGTGGACCACGTGATAGGAGATTACCAAATGTCAAATACAGCCATATTGTGCCAGACCATCAAGTTCTACTTCAGATATTTCTCTCAAAACCACATCTCACTCAAAGGCCAGGGGATCATCGCAGGCAGCAGGCTTCAACATCTGGTGACCATAAATCACTGCACAGTACCTCAGAGACCAAAAGATGTGGATTATCTTGTCATCGCTTGCTTTACCTCCTCCTAAATGCAGCCCAAAGTATCTTTTTACCCTTCAAGTCAATTTTCTTCTTTCTGCTGCTCATAACTACAGTGATTGTGCGCTGTGCTCGAACGCCTCGTGTCTACTCACAGATGGAGGGCTGAAGCTGCTGAGTGGACACGGTGTAACACCTTGTCTACACAAGAGGCACAGCATGAGCAGCATATTCGATGCCGCAGCAATGTAGGAAAAAACACACTTTCTTTTGTGTAATTATTACATTTTAAAGCCACAAAGTACCAAACTTTATCCGCTTTTTGTTTTGTTTTTTTCCTCTGTGGGTTATTCTTGCTGTGCACTGCTCGATTGTTATTGACGAACTTATTACTGCGCTCTAGCGCAGGAGAATGCCCGATCACCGGCGCGCGTGCCTTCTTTGTAACAGAACCAGAACCTATGGTTGCAATTAAACAACTTTTTGATATTCATCCTCATATTCATCCAGGTTAATCCCACAGGCTTTGGGGTTAGCAATTTTCAAGATGCCATAAAAGCAGCAGGAACAAGCTACCAGATAGATGTGAGAATACAGAAGCAGGAATGAAAATTGGTTTTGGGAAATTGATTGACAGCAGCTGAGGCTATAAATATATGTAACCCTGCATCAACTTGGCAGAATGCGGCTGGTGTGCAGTCATTAACCTGGGGATGTGAATACAAAAGCAGTGCGGAGTGAGCTCCATCGTGTATTTCAAGTCTGCTTTCACCACTGTCTGCCATCATCTCTCTGTTTTTTGTTTTTTTCCTGACTCTGACTACAGTATGGCGTGCATTTCGATGTCTGTTTTCTTAGCGGCTGATTAGCACGCTCATAAACTAGTGTCGGCGGTTAATGGCCAAAATTTTAATACGGTTCAGATTCAGTATTCAGCACATTAAACAGATTGAATTCCTCTCTGATTATTACCTCAGCGGCTTAAATGAACTGTGCTCCCCTGGCAAAGGGATGCGTACTAAAACTGCTGCCGTATGACACAAAGACTTGTAGTCAGTCACAAACGAATACAAAATAAAACATTTAAATGGCTTCAGTTCAGTGATATGAGATCTGGTGACATGCAATATCATTACTAGGCTCTGGATAACATGGCATTACTTCTCCCCGAAGCCAGAATGAGGCCACCAATTAGTGTAATCAGTTGGTGTAGTGGACCAAGCAGAAGATCTCCCAAAGTCTATTTCACAGGGGTGAGGTGTACCTCCAGTGTGCAGGTATATATTGTATTAAGCAGATGATCCTCTGAATGTTGCATTAAAGAAAATACGCGTCTTTTATCACGATCATCCGCCTCCCTTTCTCATCCAGCCAGTCTCTGACTGTTGGCGCATCTTGATCATTATCTTTCGCTTCGTCCGTCTGCATTTCTGCTTTAGCCATCTTCCTCTCTGGGGAACTCTGACAGGCGCAGCGCGACAAAGTGCACAATCACTGTAAGGTGTCGCTCATTGGAGAAAGAATCGAGGCAAAAGAGACGGAAAGGGTTGGGGAGGTACAAGAGAGGGGAAGAGCAGAAAGGAGGCGTGAAAGGAAGGTTGCGGAAAGCAGGAAAAAGACATCAAGGTAGCGAGAAGAAACAGTCAAGTTTAAGGGAAGGAAAAAGAGGTAAGAGGAGTAAGTGGGAGAGGAGGGAGGAGGGAAAGTGTTCTAGGCTTGTGTTCCAGTTAATTACCACAGAAGGCCCCGGGGCTGCCGTTAGACATATTTTCTTCACCAACGATTTTTTTTTTTTATTACAAACATTAATTAATTCAGAGCCTTGTCATCTCGTCTTACATGGATGGGCCCTTTGACCCCTTTTCTTACGCCTCACTTGCACTGCTGGCAGACACACTGTGGGCTGTCACATGGGCTAAGGAGAAACAGGGAGGTTTTAAGTGCTAAGATTTATGGCGGCATTACCATCTGAAAAAAAGAAAAAGAAAGAAAGGTGGGCTAAATACATCTTGTGTGTTAACTGGGATTTTGTTGCACCTCGGTTACACAGTCAAATATTTTAAGTTGGCAGGAAGGGCTAAACGTCAACCGCATAAATGCATTGTATAAATGTGTAGACAGG